AATGTAAATCTTCCCCATCATGAATCAGAATCAATTTCCCTCTCTCTCCCTCGCCTTTCCTCCCTCTCTCTCTCTCCCCTCTCCCCTTTTATTCAGTTTCCATTCACTTATTTTCAAGGTCATATATAAAAGGCATTTCAAAATAAATAAACATGCATAGGATACCTGGCAGGCGGAGACAGCATTTTACTTGATTTTTGTGTCACCAGAGCCTAAAAATGTCTCAAACACGATTGCATTGGTAGCCCTGGCTTGAGCGAGGCAAACTCATTTCATGTAACCAAAATGTGTGTATCCCCATAATACCCTGAAAATAAATAAATAAAAATAAATAAACATGCATAGGATTGCTGGCAGGCGGAGACAGCATTTTACTTGATTTTTGTGTCACCAGAGCCTAAAAATGTCTCAAACACGATTGCATTGGTTAATGTTATTTGGTTGAAAGTATAAGAAAAGGACATCGGCCAGCTTAAAGGGAAAAAGGAAATTATGTTGGAAGGCTGCCACGATAGCCTATGGACTCCAAGGGATCCCTGAGCACAGGGTAGGAAGAGCAGGAATCAGGGACTCTCCAGGGACTTCTGCAGAGGGAGTTGATGGACGGCCCTCTCTAAAGTGCTGACATTAATGGAACTCAACTCTAAGGACTCTCAGACTTAGTGCCTTTCAGTTTCAAATGCTAAATTCCTGGCAGAGAGAATCCGATCAAACCAGTTAATACTAGTGTTCACCCTGAGTTTAATAACTGATGGCCAGGAGGACAGAATCATATAATACAGATGTGGCTGAAGGGACCCATTTCGGTGTATGATTGGGGACAGGGGTGGGAGTAATTCCCAGGAAGGGAGGACTTATTGTGAGTCTGGCAGTTCCTCAATACAAGGTAATGAAAGGAAAGCAGTGTCATGGGCCAGGAAGGTTCTCCAGGCAAAGAGAACAGTGTGCAGAAAGGCACAGGGCCAGGAGAGCTGAGGTGTAGCTGAGGATCAGTTAATAGAATTGTGGTGTGTCAGAACTAAAATGGGTCTTGTCTTACAGATGAGGAAACAGAAGGTGCCATTTTACAGAACTTGCTGTGACCTAGGAAGAGAAAGTAATTTCTGCACCTAATGAGACTCAGAATAAAGAGTTATGAAAAGAAAGGTGGTTTTTGAAGTGCTAGGAGTAGATGAGCTTGCCAAGGGAGGGAGCTAGGGAGAGAAGAGGGTGCAATTTAGAATTAAAGGCAGGAGTGCCTTCCTTTCGGGGATATTGGAGGGAAGGAAAGACCAGCAAAGTAGACTGTGGGATGGTCAGAGAGAAAATCCTGCTCAGCACAGGACACTGTCATAAACA